TCACAAAATGTCTTACAGATCCTCTCTGTGTGTCTTTATTCGTTATCCTAAGTCTTTTAGGGGTATAGATGCATGAATTTAAAAACTAATAAGGTGTTCATATGAAAACATGTCAAATTTGATGAGGCAGTTTTTCCTTTTGCTACTAAAAATTCTGTGCAGAAAATTTCAAATTCACATTCTAAATTGTGGGTTGCATCTATTCTTCACCCCATGGTGACTGAGTCTGCTGCCCGCGTTCAGTGCTAACCAACACAGCCGACTGCACCAGTTCGGACCGAACCAGCACTGCCGGCAACGCCAGAACGGACCGATACTGCACTGCCGGCAGCGCCTCTTGAGGCCGAGACAGCACAACAGGCTGTCTCAGCGGTAGCCGCTCGTCGGTGAGGGTACCCACGGGGTCGGTCCACTCAGTCGAATGTCCGCACGCACGATATGGAGACACGAAGTCAGTCTCGCGCACCACCTACAGTTTTGACAGCTCAGGTTTGCACCACTGATCCTACTTGTTACACACAGGCTGTCAAACACTTGGAATGGCGCCAAGCCATAGATAAGGAATTTAATGCTTTACTCCAGAATCAGACTTGGTATTTGGTTCCGTCTCAATCTAATCAGAATGTGATTGGCTGTAAATGGGTCTTTTGAACCAAGGGAAAGACAGATGGTTCAATTGAGAGATACAACGCCAGGTTAGTAGCAAAGGGATTCAATCAGGTTCCTGGTCATGACTTTTTTGACACATTCAGTCCGGTTGTAAAACCTACCACAGTCAGGTTACTTCTTTCTTTAGCTATATCCCCTGGTTGGATTGTGAGACCGCTAGATGTTCATAATGCCTTTCTCAATCGTAATTTGATTGAAACTGTTTATATGCGACAGCCACCTGGATACATTGACGCTCAATTTCCTAATCATGTCTATTTGTTGAAGAGATCCTTGTATGTGTTGAAACAAACTCCGAGAGCTTGGTTTAACTGCCTTCATGCGTTTTTATTGTCCGTTGGATTCTAGGCATAAAAAACAGATGTGTCACTATTTTATTACTCCTAGAATTCTACTTATGCTTATCTTCTAGTTTATGTTGATGACATTCTAGTGATAGGAAGTGATCTGAATCTTGTTAGTTATTTACTATCAAAATTTTCTACTAATTTCAAGATTAGGGATCTTGGTGAACCAGGTTTCATTCTTGGTATTGAAACCGTTAAGTGCAGTGATGGGATCCTTCTATCTAAGCAACGTTATATGCTTGATATTTTGAAACGTGCTGGTATGACTGATTGCAAACCTCTATCCAACCCAATACCTGCTTCGAAATCTCTTTCTCACTCTACAGATTTATATGATGATCCTACGCAATATCGGAGTCTGGCTGGAGCTCTTTAGTATCTTACTATCACCAGACCATATTTATCCTTTGCAGTTAACCAACATTGTCAACATATGCATGCTCATACGACCACTCATCGGGAAAAAGTCAAACGTGTGTTGAGGTATGTCAAAGGGACTCTATCTTATGGTTTACGTATCCGAAAATCTGAGTCCAGAGAATTACATGTCTTCCCTGACTCAGATTAGGCTGGTTGTCCTGAGGATCGTAAGTCAACCAGTAGTTATGCTGTTTTTCTTGGATCAAATCTTGTATCTTGGGTGTGCAAGAAGCAAAGAACTGTGGCCAGATCTTCTACGGAGGCTGAATACAAGGGTTTAGCTAATGTTTGTGCTGAGGTAATCTGGGTTCTCTCCTCTTACGAGAGACTGGTGTGACTGGGATCTTTGTTCCCAAGCTGTGGTGTGATAATCTTGATGCTATCTATCTATGTGCTAATTCCATTTTTCATGCTCACACTAAATATGTTGAGATTGACTATAATTTTGTGAGAGACAGAGTTGCCAAGGGAGAGTTTCAAGTAAACTTTATCTCTACCAAAGATCAACTTGCTGATATATTTACAAAAGCTTTAGCAGGTACTAGTTTTTCTTTTCTTAGAGACAAGCTACAGGTCATGTCTGGGGTATTAGAACTCTATGTATTTGAGTCAGTTTATGATTCACAATCCTAGTCTCCCTCTGTCTCCTCTTGTATATATACCAAGAATCTGTACTCTTGTAATTATCACTATTAATACAATCAATAACAGTTCTCATCATGCGTGCATATTCTGAACAATATATATATATATATATATATATATATATATATATATATATATATATATATATATATATATATATATATATACACATATATTTCAAATTTGAGGAATATTATGTATTTTTTTCGAAAAAACCTACTCCCTAGAGCCAAAAGTTTTAATCGTTTTTTTTTTTTTTCCGACGACGGCTACCTAGATTTCGTTGTCGACCTATAGAGGTATGATGTGTGGGTGGTTGATTGTAGCATATTTTACAAATAAATAATACCTGGAGTACCAGGTTATCGATCCATAGGGATATGAGATATTAAACACTAGTTACTAATTTATTCACGAGAAGCTAATCATAGTGATTATGATTGAAAGTTGCAAATAAATAAATAAAGCAAAGTAATGAATAAGGGTTTTGAAAATAATAGAGAGAAGATGAGATCCCTGAGATTCAAGTGTTTAATCCCCTAGTGTCGTAATATTAAATCTGGGTTCAAACAAGTATGAAAATGTAAAGATGGTATAGAGTTACTCCCATAATCTCTAACCCTAGTGAATATCCACTCCCGTGATATAAACACCCAATAAGAACGAGAACAAGCATTCATAATAAATTCCTAACTACTACCATCTCCCAAATGCGCAATAATCAAGAATTAAAACTCCCTAACATAAATGTCATCTCCCAAGGTGCAATAGTTAAGTGCAATTGTGTGTGCCCTAAATTATGCCCAACTCCCGTTGTGACATAAGGAAAGCTATGAAACAAGTAATTACAGTCGTTAACTACTAGCAACAACAATAATAAACACAATTGCAACACAAGTTTAAAACCCAAATAATAATATATTAAAGAATCTGAAAGCACGGGCACATAGGTTCGTAAACACTTTTTACCCAAAAATCTCTAATGGAATTTAGCCTAGCATGGCTAAATAATACATAGCTAAAGATAATAAAGAAAATACAAATTATCAAAAGAGTACCAAGAATGAACCATACGATTCTCCCAAATCTCCATAGTTTTCTTCTTGCTTCCCAAGACAACTTGTGGCTCTTGACTTCTCTCTTTCTTGTCTCCAAAAATCTCAGAATGTCTAAAAGGGTTGAGGAATGGAGATTTTATAGCTGGAATCAATCCCGGTAGAAATAGGAATTTTCTATGCGAAACTTGGGCCGAACTCGCACTTGGGCTACTGCTCGCTCGACGCGTTGAGCCTTTGCCTTCAAATTCTCGGGACAGCACTGCCCGACTTCGACGCGTTGAGGGCAGGCTCAACGCGTTGATTCGAGGCGTCGTTTTCTCGCCCTCGCCCATGTGATCACTCGACGTGTCGAGCAGAGACTCGACGCGTACTTGAAATTTTGGACGCGTCGAGCCAAGGGCTCGACGCGTCTAACTCGCTGTGCATGCGTCTTTCGGTCCACTTTGACTCCAAATTTGTCATAGAACTTCCCTTGCTTTTGTACTTGACCTACAATGGTTCCAAAACACTATCAAACAACGTAAAACATTCAAAACAAGTGTGAACCATAACTAAATGATAAACAAGTGATTAAGAAATTAAATTACTAAAATCATGAACTCAAGCCTAACAAATATAATCAAATCAATACTAGAAATATGCACAATTAGACTTACATCAGTGGTATAGGAACATAGAATGCATAATAAAATATATGCAGATGGGAAATATTTGGTTTTGTCCCTCGTACTAGTTGTAAAGAGGAATAATCATGATATGCAGTCATGGACGGAGCCCGGGGGGGGGGGGGGGGGGGGGGGCAGGGGCAGCTGCCCCCCACCCCATATATAATAGTTGTATGTATATATGTATATATAGTATAAGTTTTAGTATTAGTATAAAGAAACAGATAAATATTAACAAGAAGTGAAATAGATTAGTTAGCGAAGCATATATTTGGTTATAGTGAAGGTCCAGAGTTTGAATCCTTTTTTGGCATTAACATAATTTTACAGTTCTCTAGGCTTCAACACAATCACACTTGTATAAAATACACACACACACACACACACACACACACACACACACACACACACACACACACACACACACACACACACACACACACACACACACACACACACACACACACACACACACACACACATATATATATATATATATATATAACATTTTCGAATTATTTTAATGTTTCACCTTCACTCGAAAAAATTGATCGATCCGTCCTTGCTTTTTCGCCCCCTCTCAACAAAATTCCTGGCTCCGTCCTTGACTTCAACTTTTTTGAAACATTACTGTCTCCTAACCCCTTAGCTGGTTCTAAAGTTAGAACCAAAACAAAAGTCTGTATCCTCCCATGTTGTATCATTTGTTCATCACTTCATTTAATTTTTCCTTCTTCCATAAAACAGAGTAAATATCTTGGGGGTAAACAAGTTAGTTAGGCTATTGACTTGGTAATTCGGGCCATTTTATCTTCTTCTTTTTCTTTGCCACTTAGGATTATAAGGCGGGACTATTGACTTCGTATGATTCTCCTTGTTGTTCTTTACCAGTTATGATCATAAGGCAGGACTATTGATATGCTGGTTTATCTCTTTGTTATCGTTTGCCAATTAAGATCATAAAGCAGGATTTACCCAATGCACAACTTTAAGTACTGCATATTGACTTAGTAACTTAGGTTGGTTTATCTCGTTGTTGTCATTGGCCAGTTAGGATCATGAAGCATGATTTGTTCAATGCACGCCCTCAAATAGTGCATATACACAATCGAGTAGTGGTTGCAGGTTTTCCTCGTCACTCAAAAAAAGAGTGAATAGTTACTCCAACATACGCATAAGTTCAAACTCTCGTTCTCATACTTAAACAACTCAAACTCTTATCACTTGAGTCGAGTTCGATTAAGAAGATACAAGACCGAAGTTAGTTTATAGAGGCTGGCATTTTAAATCATGGCACTCTGAGAGTGAAATTTGTACATCATATAGGGGAAAGAGTACCATTATTGCAAGCAGGGTTGTACAAAGATCCTCATTTTTCTCCAAAAACCAACCAGCTTGCTATCTCAAAGCCAAGCCATAACTACATCATGTCAAGGTCATCTTCATAGTCGTAGTCTGGTTCGCTAGAATGGCGCAATCTCTTCGCCTCTCTCGGGCCTCCCCTACCTTTTTTCGGTTTCCCCCTGCAGACATTGTGAATTTTATCAAGTCAGCTGTGACCAACAAAAATTTGTTCGGGATATAAAAATTCTCTATACAATATTATCAAATCCCTTCCATTAAAGGCACTGGTTACCAATAGGATAAGGGATAACCAAATACTTATTGTCCATTTGCAGGTATACCTGCACCATCTCGCCCAACCGCTACTTCCTCAGCCTGGAACAAGGGCAAGTAAAACTTATTTTTGTAGAAACTACAAAACAAAAGACATACGTAGCACCATCATTGAATAACTATATGTAATATAACATACCGCTGGCGAAGTTACAGAGGATAGCGAAAAAAACCTATCTTCCAGTTGAAACTTCCTTGACCTTTTTAAACTGAAACAAACCATTGATAGAAAAGGAAAATCACACAAAGAAACAGAGTATTAAACATAAATTGTAACTAAATCATCAGACATATCTAGTGACCTCTAATCCATCTCATTATTAAATGAGGTGCTTTTCTTCGGTGGGGGAGGGAGACTCCTAAGATTTCAGTCCAAACATGGGATTCTCTCAATACAAATATTGAATTGTCATTTAGGTCGCACTCTGGTACATCTTCATCTTCCTTCATGATTGTTTATTGCCCAAGTGAACTGTCTATGTGCTCCCTTTTGGCATTGTCTGTTGTCTATCCCCTGATCATTTATTTTTCCCAAATTAGCTCATACCCTTGCTGGTTACCTTGTTGACAGCTTAGTACCTTACTTAATACTAATCCATTAAGGACTTCGATAAAGAACGAGTAGCCTCCCCTCCACCAAAAAGAAGATTTTTTGCAGGATAAAGGCAACATAATAGAAGTTGGTGACAAATCTTACATTGCTTTCTTAACAATTGTGTCCCAATGATTGAAAAGCATATTCCTTTTGCTGTCCCATTGTTATTGGTTTAGCTCTGAATGCAATTCATGAAATCTCTCTTTTAGAGCAAGCACAACAGTATCAACACTTGTATCTATCAAGGAGTTTCAAAAAACATTGAGGCCCTTGATTTAGTCCAAACTCTTTACACCTTGGTAGAGAACCACAGAGTACTTTAAAATGTCACATGATTTCCTGTATTCACTTTTAACCATGGCTGCAAGAGATCTGCTGACACTTAGACTCTAGAATCCCTACTATATACCTAAACTTTAACACACTACAATAAAAGGAATCATATTAAACTTTGAGCTCAGTATCTACCCTCTCTTAGTCAATACCACTGTGGAGTTAAAGACCTGACTACATTCCCACATTACAAGTTCATGCTGACAGGCAGCATTACTATTTACTACCCATGATGATTCATTCAAAGTTCACACCCAACAAAATAACAGTAATAAGCATTCCCAAACTTAAAATGGTTGAAGAATTTACAGTGTAGTGCTTTTCGACGATGACAGAAACCCTTCAAAACCTTTCAACACATTCCCAGAAGCCAGTCGCCCGTTGGAGGGCGGGAAACTATCCCAGAGCTGGGAAGGCCCGTACGTGGTATCAGCGATCATTCGCCCGGGAACCTACAAGCTACAAACGACGACCGGGAGAACCGTGGATAGAGTATGGAACTCGGAGAACCTCACGCTCTTTCACCATTAGCCTTCTTCCCTGACCACCTGTGCCTCCTAAATCATGTAGTATTGTACCGTTGTAATCTTGGCCTAGCCGGATAACCGTTGTACCGGCAGGCTAATCTTTCTATGTAATGAAGTGTTTTCCTTTCGTTCAAAAACCTGTGTAGAATGAAGCCCGGATCCGTCCCAGCACGGCCGTTAGGCCACGAAGCCCTACGAGGGTAGGCGAAGCCCGGGTCCGTCCCGGCACGGCCGTTAGGCCACCAAGCCCTACGAGGGTAAGCGAAGCCCGGGTTCGTCCCGGCACGGCCGTTAGGCCACGAAGCCCTACGAGGATAGGCGAAGCCTGGGTCCGTCCCGGCACGGCCGTTAGGCCACGAAGCCCTACGAGGGTAGGCGAAGCCCGGGTTCGTCCCGGCACGGCCGTTAGGCCACGAAGCCCAACGAGGGTAGGCGAAGCCCGGGTTCGTCCCGGCACGGCCGTTAGGCCTTGAAGCCCTATGAGGGTAGGCGAAGCCCAGGTTCGTCCCGGCACGGCCGTTAGGCCACGAAGCCCTACGAGGGTAGGCAAAGCTCGGGCTCGTTCAGTTGGTGGCACACTCGAAGGTGTCCATCGACGTTCGATCACGAGCCCGGGCCCGTCCCGGCCTTATTCAGTTGGTGGCACACTCGAAAGTGTCCATTAACGTTTGATTACGAACCCGGGTCCGTCCCGGCCTCGTTCAGTTGGTGGTACACTCGAAAGTGTCCATCGACGTTCAATCACGAGCCCGGGCCTGTCCTGACCTCGTTCAGTTGGTGGCACACTCGAAAGTGTCCATCGACGTTCGATCACTAGCCCGGGTCTGTCCCGGCTTCGTTCAGTTGGTGGTACACTCGAAATTGTCCATCGATGTTGGATCACGAGCCCGGGTCTATCCCGGCCTCGTTCAGTTGGTGGTACACTCGAAAGTGTCTATCAACGTTGGATCATGAGCCCGGGTCCGTCCCGGCCTCGCTCAGTTGGTGGTACACTCGAAAGTGTCCATCGGCGTTCGATAACGAGCCCGGGTCCGTCCCGGCCTCGTTCAGTTGGTGGTAATACTTGGGATAACGGGATTGAGAATGACAACAAGCGAGCGTTAAATTAAAAAGCGGCCAGCCTGAAAAGTTGTTTACCTGACACAAAGGGGTCGGGCTCCCTGAAAGGCAAACTGCCATTGTCAAAAAACCAAATGACCCGGCACAAGCACGAGGCCGGGCTCCCGTTCTATGAATCTAAGCTTCGGGAGGAGCTTGTGAGTGTGGCTCGTCGAAAGGGGGCTGGCTAGTGACCGGGGGACTGTCGAACGGCTCTAGGCCGGGATCGGGCACTTCTGCGGGCAGAACCCCCAAGACCAGGGCCAAATCATTGTCGTCGAGCGATGAGGCCAGAGCATCCCGGTCCTCCGGCTGAGCCCGGCGCTGAAAGCCCATTTGGCCAAGGTCCAAGCTAATTCCTCGCCGACCGGGTTCCTCAGAAAGTGGCGGAAGAAAGCCTCGCCCTCAGCCCGGTCGCGGCATACCCGAGCTGCAAGTTCTTCTGGGTTGTCCAACAGCTTCTGGGCCTCTGTTGCCCGGGTCTCTACCTTGGCCAACCGATCATTGGCAGTTCGCAGCTTCTGGCACGCTTCCTTGGCCTCCTTCCCGTGGCGATTGGCAGCCTTTTGGAAGGCCTCGGCGTCCTCCGTCGCATTTGCCCGGCGGAACAAGGTCACCAAAGTGCACGTCATCTGCATTTGAAAAGACAAGTAAGTAAGACTTGGTGAACGGCAAATGCAAAGTGTGAAGGGTGAAACAAGACGGGTACCTACATAACGTCGACGGCTCCCCGCTCCCCGATCTCGTTCAGCGTTTCCCTCTTTTCGTCATCTCCGGCTGGGATGATGTCAATCAGCCGGTTGAGCTTGGCCGCGGGGTGCTCCCCGCTTAGCAGGACGTCGATGACCGGGGTCTCGGCGGATGGGCTTGCCCGTTTGCTCCGCTTTAATGGGGGGACCTCCTCCACGTCGGCGTCCGCCTCCCTCTCTTTCCCCTTCTGAGTGTTGGTACGGACGACCTGCAAGTCCGGTTCCGAGTCGACCGGGTGGGCCGAGGTGACGCCAAGAGGAAGGCCGGTGGGAACCGCCAAGTCCGCCGAAGCGGGACCAACGGAAACGTTCTTCTTGCCCCCGAGCGCGATCTTGGGGCGGGGCCCGGTGGAAGAAGCTGGTGCGGCAATAAATGCCTTGTCGAAACCCATACCTGCAAAAGAAAGCGAACTAGATTAGTTGATCGGTTGACCTTTACCGGGCGCTAGAAATGCATGCGGCTAGATGCAAAACCTCCGGGTACGTCCGAAGGAGGAGGAGGAGGCCGGGCGATGGTGATCTGAATTCGTCGAGGCTCGTACTTTTCCGGAAGGTCATACCGGGGGGGCTCGAGGCGGGCAGCGTCAAAGGCCTCGGGAGTCTTGTAGATATGGTAATCGTAGAACTCGGACGAGATCTTCGTTATGGCGTCAGCAAGCTCGGGGGTTTCGTCCGGGGTATCCTGCTCTGCGTAGTGGCTGGACCATTCCCGGGGAACCGGCAGATCCCAGATGTACTTGACGGAGAACAACATTTTTTTCCACCCGCGGTTGTTGTCCAGAAGATGGAGTATCTTGCACAGATGCCCGTGCGATTAAGCCTGCAGGAATCCAGACCCATACCGAGGTGCCAACGGCCGTACCGAGTAAGTGAAGTCGAATAGCTCCATCGTGCAGTCGAGGCCGTGCCGAGCACAGACTTGCGGGAAGCACGCAATGATACGATGGGCGTTCGGGGTGATCTGCCCGGGGAGAACCTCATAGTGCTCGAGGAACATGAGCAGGAATGGGCTGAACGGAAAAGTTAACGGGGCCCTCAGGGAGTCGAAATGAAGCCCAAGCCATTGCCCTGTGGTCCGGTCGACAACGTTCCCCAGCGCCCGGTCAGTGTTGAAGGCAATTTTCCTGCCTATAAGGGAAGTGATTTCCTTCGCCTCGGCCCGACGACCTCGCTGTTTAAGAAAATCAGTTTTCGCCCGGAGGCGGACGCGACCGGGGCGAAAGAAGGCGCTGGGGTCGGGTCCCTGAGATTCTCGGCAAGCCGATCGCGCAAAGAGGCGGATAAGTCGGGACGTAGGGCCCCGACGATCGTTCGTGGAGATTTCCCCGAACCCGAGGCGTCGCTAAAGATCACCCGTGGTGACTTTTCCCGGCGCGACGACCCGACCATCGGATGGCTCAACACCTGAACTTCGCTGGATTCGCCCCCATCGCCGTCGTCGTCGGGACGCTCCGCTAAGAAACCGCTCCGCCCCTCGGACTCTCCCGGATGGTCTTGACCGGTAGGAGCGTGTGGAGAACGGGGCGCGGTGTAGCGGTCTATGAACTCGCCTGTGCTGGTGGTCCCTCGCGAAGAGCCGGTCGTCGTGTCGGAGTCATCCCCGGCCGCATAATCCCGACTGGTATCCGAGCTGGACATCTTCTCCTTTAAAGAGAAAATGAGGGGGGTGGCGTTTCAGTACGGGCGCCCGGTTCAGGTCTTAGCCTATGTCTAGGTGGGGAGTAGCTGTACTTCAATATAAAAGAAACGAAGGTGGAGCTTACCGTTTAAAGAGTCAGCAGATGGCGCCCGCTTGAAGTTCCTGACGTGAAAGCTGCGACAACTGGGAAGCTCTGAAGTTTGTTGAAGAAGCGAAAAGTTTGTAATGGGCCCCTAAACCCCCTTTTATAGGAGCGAAAAAAGGCAGGAAAAAGAAGTTTCCGAAACACGCCAGGCCCGGATCTCGAGACCTATAGACAGGCGGCACGTGGCGGGCTGCATCCTACGCGCGTCCCCACCTCAGCCTACTCCGTGTGATCCATCCGTCCAATGCAAACCGATGGGATGAAGAGTCAGCCCGCACCCCTCCGCCGGATATCGTCGGGCTCCGGGCTGGGGGGACTATATGATGGGGAATATACGCCGGTCATACGGGTCGCCCAACCAGCCCGGCCTATTTGCCCGGTCACGACTGCTACAACTCCTTGCCCGTTCGTCCGGTCAGCCTCTTGGCACTGAGCGCTTCGAAGGCCTCACGGGCGTCTGACCGGTGACCGGGAGGGATGGCTGCTTGGAATGGGGCCTGCCAATGACAGAAGGTACGTGCCACATGTACGGTCGCATGCCTGCCTCCCCAAGGCCCGGTGCATGCGCACCACGTGTCTGACATGCCGGAAGACCAGGTGTTGTTCCCCATGTCCCTTATAAATACTGCATTAAATGCTTGAGTAGAGGACTTTTGGATTAGATGACAGACTAGGTTAGAGAGGATCCCGGTCATCATCTACGATCGATCTGTCTTTGACCCCACTGTAAACTTCTTCATATCAATATACGGTTATTTTATCCACATCAATAATAATAATAATAATAATAATAATATTGTAGCTCATGTGGTTGTATCACATATCATCAGTTACCTGAGTAGCTGAGGGTCGACCAGGCATCCGGCGTGGCTGAGGTTAGGATAGAGGTCGTCCGCTAGAGATTGTGAGGGAGACGGGGAGAGGAGCAAGGGCGTTGGCGTCAGAGGACGGAGAAGCAGAAATCGAGAGGACTAAGAAGCGAGGGTAGGGCCAGATGGTGTAAGGACAATACCGCTTGACCGGAGTGTGTGAAGATCTAAATAAGGTTAGTGTTAGGGAATTTGGACTAGGCAGAAGTCAGAATGAATGGGCTAACAGTTGACTTGCAATATATATATATATATATATATATATATATATATATATATATATATATATATATATATATAAAAGCTTCGAATCTGGTGCAACCCCTATACTAGATGAGATAATGAGATCTCATGATATTCATTGATTCATTTTCCATAAATGGTTAAGATTATAAGAGATTGTGAAAGTAATT